CCACTATTGGTATTGCCACATCGCTCAAGGGTATGAAAAATCCACACGCCTGAGCAACCTAACCCCCATGTAGACAGCACCAGGGCTGGATGAACCACCCCAAGGCCCCGCCCAAAGCCTCTTCCCCCCGAGGCCCCACCTGCTGCTTGCATGGGGGAAGGAGGGAGTGGATAGCAGGGGGCAGAGATGAGTGAGTGGCAGGTGGGGCCTCGGGGGGCGCAGGCCAAGCAGGAGCAGGGCCTCGGTCTGAGCTGTGGTCTCAGCACACTGGCAGCCCAACCTATATCAGGTGTTTTGTATGTATCCCAGCAGGGAGGGTTTTAAGGACGGATGTGAAGGAAGTCGGTGGTTTTGCAGATGTTTATGGGGGGCTCCGCCCAAGGGACAGCCCAGGAGAAAGCACAAAGGTACTTGTTGGAAAATTACCAAGCAGGCTATGAAGGCTGGCGGCGCTGCCAGGGAGGAGGCAGGCGTCATCCATACGCCGAGACATTGCTGGAACACACACACATCTCTTATCAGTTCCAGACACGCTGCAGCAGAACAGAACGGTGACGGCTTCTCTCATTTGCTTCCTGCTCAGGGGCAAAAGGGAAGTTCACAGGATTGCTAAAATCTGGGGTGCTGGGCTAAGTTCCTTGTAAGCTGTGCAGCCGTGCAGCAGGCTTTCAAGGGCCATGCAGGCGGGGAGAGGCGCCCCTGCCCGACCCAGCCCAGCCACGCCGGAGCTGTGGCGGCCCGGGAGAGAGGCCTCTCACCCAGCCCTGAGCTGCTGCAGTGAGAGAGGGCTGGGAGGAGTTCTCTCTCCCCACCACAGCCCCAGGACAGCCTGCACCCCAAACTCCTCAGCCCTGGCCCCACCCCAGAGCCTGCACCCCTCACATCCCAACCCCCTGCCCTAGCCCTGAGCCCCCTCCCACACTCCGAACCTCTCCTCCCCAGCCCCACTGCAGAGCCTGCCCCCCCAGGCAGAGCCCTCACCCCCCTGCACCTCCACCCTCTGCCCCAGCCCTGAGCCCCCCTCCCACACTTCAAACCCCTCAGCCCCACCCCCACCACACATCACCTCCATATTGGTGCACATCCCAAAATTCATTCCACACATGGATGTAAAAAATGAGAGGGAACACTGGAGTGCTGGGTCACACATGGCCTATTTTTAATTGCTCATCAACACAGTCCAAAAGGCGAGACAACACCTCATTGTCAACAAACACTTTCCCACCATTTGTTCTTTCAACCACAATGGGTGCGGGACTGCTCCAGGAGCAACCCCTGGTCTCAGGCTGCAAGCTCTTTAGGGCAGGAACTGGCTTTTTGTTCTGTGTTTGTACAGTGCCCAGTCCGTGCCTGGTCTGTGACGCGTGCTCCTATGAGTTAGCACAATACTGCCATCCACAGCCAGTTGATCCTCATAAGCAAAGTCCTGTACACATAAATGATTGTCAGCTGGTTTGGAGTTGCTGACACTGCGCATTATGGCCCTGGTGCAACAAGAGACTTTAGCAAGTACATAACGTTAAGCAGATGAGTAGTCCCATTAACTGCAGTAGGATCACTCAGTCCTGCACTTGTTCTGAATCAGGGCCTCGTTACATTCAAGTGGTTCGAGATGGCCATACCTCTCCAATCCGTCCCAAATGTCTGTGCTCTTCCATTCAGCATATACACATCTGACCCTCTCCCATATATTCTTTGTTGTCTGATCTTCTTTGTCCTCTCCGATACATAGATAGCCAACCTGTTCCATACACGTTGTACAGCCTGGTATATTAAGATCATTGTTATTAAGAATATTTATAGGTGCCCATGATGCAATGGCAGAGAAAATATTATTTTAGTACCAAAAACACTACCAGGCTGTACCACTATTGAGGTCAATGGGAATAGGTACAATAGTAAACCCTACATCTGGGAGTACATGGCCATAAGCCCCTATGCTGCAAACAATAACCAATGAGCAGGGCCGGCTTTAGGACCTGCGGGGCCCGATTTGAATACCCGGCGGTGGTCCGGGTCTTTGGCAGCACTTCGGCGGCGGGGGGTCCGCTCCCCGTCTTCCGCGGCACCGAAGGACCCCCTGCCGCCAAAATGCCGCTGAAGACCCAGAGCGGATCCCCCGCCACTGAAGTGCCGCCGAAGACCCAGAGCGGACCCCCCGCTGCCGAAGTGCCACCGAAGACCCGGAGCAGACCGCCGCGGGGTGAGTAAGGTGCGGGGCCCTCTTCAGTGCTGGGCCCAATTCCGGGGAATCGGGGGAATCGTCCTAAAGCCGGCCCTGCCAATGAGCATCCACATATGGATAAGTCAGGCATGTGCATGTTTAGCTCAGGGCCTTAATGAACAAGAATCAATACTAAATAAAAGTCGCTGCCAAATAAATGAATTAATACAAATCAATGTTGATTGAAGAGGACTATTAAATACTGAATAAATAAGTGAACACTCCATGCAATGCACAACCTGTGGAACTCCTTGCCAGGGGATGTTGTGAAGGCCAAAAGTATAACAGGGTTCAAAAAAGAACTAGATCAGTTCATGGAGGATAGGTCCATTAATGGCTATTAGCCAAGACAGTTTGGGACCATCGACCCTATGCGCCAGGTGTCCCTAAAGCTCCGACTGGTAGAAGCTGGGACTGGATGACAGGAGATGGATCATTTGATAATTACCCTGTTCTGTTCGGTCCCTCTGAAGCAGGTGGCACTGACCACTATTGGAAGAGAGGACATTGGACTAGGACCATTAGCCTGACCCAGTATGGCTGTTCTTATGTTTAATAAAAAGCAAGGCTCCAGTCCTGTAATGCACTTCAAATGAGCACAGCCCCTGAGCCATGGGAATGCGTCAGAATGCAAAGGGGGTCACCTGCGTGGGGTTTATTGCAAGACGAGGGTCTTGATGAATTTAATAAAAATCAATATTTGTTAAAATTACTGAGAAATTAATAAAGAGCAATACTCTTAAAATTATTGATGGTAAAGAAATGAATATAAATGAATCCTGAACACAAGTAGTGCAAGATCAGTACAAGAATAAGAATTCGTGCTGATTAAACATTAATGATCATTAAGGCTGCGAGTCTGTCACGGAAGCCACAGATTCTGCGACTTTCCGTGAGTTCTGCAGTGGCAGGTGCTGGCTCAGGGGCCAGCAGCAGCAGTTTGGGTGTGTGGGAGAGGGTTCAGGGCTAGGGGCAGGGGGTTGGAGGGTGTGGGGGGGTGCTTACCTTGCGGTGGGGGGCTCCCCGGCTCCCACTGGCATGGCCCTGCAGCTCCTAGGTGGATGGGCCAGGGGGCTCCGCGCGCTTCCCGCGCCCACAGGCCCCGCCCCTGCAGCTCCCATTAGCTGCGGTTCCCGGCCAATGGGAGCTGCGCAGCCGGCGCTTGTGGTGGGAGCAGCGCGCAGAGCCCCCTGGCACTTCCGCCGCCTAGGAGCTGCAGGGACACGTGGAGCCGGGTAGGGAGTCCCTGCCAGCCCTGCCAACCCTCCCGCCCCCAGCACCTGCAGCGCTCCCTGACTGCCCCCCACCCAGAACACCCATGACCCCTACCCAAGGTTCTGTTCGGGATATACAGTAAAAGTCATGGACAGGTCACAGGCCGTGAATTTTTGTTTTCCGCAGGTGACTTTAGCTAAAACTACCTGTGACTGAAACGTAGCCTTAGCGATAAGCCCGTACACACCAGGCTGAAATACAAATGGTGTCAGCATGTCTAGGTGACCAGATGTCCCGATTTTATAGGGACAGTCCCGATATTTGAGGCTTTTTCTTATATAGAAGCCTATTATGCACCACCCCCCGTCCCGATTTTTCACACTTGCTGTCTGGTCACCCTAAGCACGTCTAGCAACACCATAGAAAGAGGAATGCCCAGGAAGGACCCCTCTGGCAGGGTCACGTCCCCCAGCTCAGAGGAGAAGGAAGCTGCAGACTCTCAGTGGCCATGGGAAATAACCAGGAGCATGAACAGGCGTTACTGCAAACTATGCGCCCATGAGCTGGGCAGACGCCAGTGGTGTATGAATGTGACAGAAGGTAGAGCCCATCTCCCAGCGAAGTCAGGATGGCCGAGCGGTCTAAGGCGCTGCGTTCAGGTCGCAGTCTCCCCTGGAGGCGTGGGTTCGAATCCCACTTCTGACAAAGCTCTTTTTTTTCCTTTCCGTGACCCCTGTGAAGCCCTTTATATTTCAAATGTGCCCTTCCCGGGCTCCGCTGCGGGGTAACCGGGCAGCACGGGCACAAACAAAACAACAACGGTTTCACACCCGGTTTTAGGCGCTCTGGGAGTCGGGGGCACCGCAGCGTGAAATCCAAAAGGTTAAGCTTTGTCAGAAGTGGGATTCGAACCCACGCCTCCAGGGGAGACTGCGACCTGAACGCAGCGCCTTAGACCGCTCGGCCATCCTGACAGCTGTGAACGGTAGCGCTCGCCCGTGGGTAGAAAAGCGCCTTAGTCTCCGCGCAGCCGCACTTCGTCTCTTCAGCCCCCAGGGAAACTGTGCGCAGCCGCACTCCGCCCGAGCCTGGACTCCGCGCAGCCGCACTTCGAATCCCTTCCCGCGAGCGCGGGTCGCCCTTGGGCCGGGGTCCTCACAGGCCCGGTGGGGTCTGACCGGCCCCTGGCACGGGCTCCCCTCTTCCCCGCTCCGGCCCCGCGGCCCCCCCGCTCCAGCCGGGCCACTCGGCT